GATACGGTATGTCTCCGGTGTATCCCGTGATGGATACGGTGTGTCCGATGTGTTCCGTGATGGGTACGGTGTGTTTCCGGTGTGTTCCGTGATGGATACGGTGTGTTTCCGGTGCACGGAAAAGTTTTGTAATTGGCCGGTTCCTGGTACGGTGACTTTCCGGCCGGAATACTGCCCCCCTTTCCAGTATTTTTCCGGTCGGTTCCGGTAGGAATGGCACCGGAACCGGCGGGAATTAGCCGGAAAATGCGCCGGTTCCTGCAGGTTCCGGTGGGATCCGTTGACTGGAATCATCGACCTGGGGTGTAGAAAAAAATCAAGAAAACAAAAACAGAACCCTACAAAAGATATCGTTTAACTCCACACCACCCACTTTTTGCTGATATTACAGTAGTACATGATGCAGCCGGTCCAATTATATATCCAGATTTGCCTCAAAATTGTGGCGATTTACAGGTTTATTTGTATAAATATAATAAAGCTGATGATGAAATGTTTACTCTTGATATGCCTGTAAATGAAAACGATTGTAATGATGATACTGGGGATCGTCATGATTCTAATTTAGATAGTGACTATGATATTGTTACTACTGAATCAGATGATACACTCAATGATGATCATATATCAGGACAATCAGATTTTTCCGATTCTGATATTAACTAAGATGTTAAGATCACAGATAGACAAGCAGTATAAGATTAGAAAAGGCTGATGTTACATAATCTATATAGGGTGGTCCAAAAGTTGCCGAGCAGTCAGTCTTTTAGTTTTGAATAACTTTTGATAGAAGCTAGATAGAGAGCTGTGACTTTCACCGTTCGAGAGTGTGTTATTACATAGTTCTATGTGTTGCTTAATCAAAGTGATTCCAAGAATATATAAACGAAAATCTTAGGTCTAGAAATGTAAAATGAATGTAAGCGATGATGATGAGCATAATTTTATTTAGACAAAAAGAAAAAGACCCTAAGTTATTAAATAATAAAACTTTCTGTATTAACTAGTTGTTAGTGTTTGATGAAATATACATCCTGATGGATCTGTTAGAATGCGAACACGATCTATGCGATAGGCCTTATAGTCATTGGTTGATTATGTTTAACAAGAACTAGCGTCAAGCCTTGAACATAAATATAAAGAATCGATTTCTAATGGATGTGGATGTAGGTAAGAAGAAGAACCGTACACACCCATACCTAACCCTTGTAGCAGGAAGCTCTTAAATCTACTACCTGAAACGGGACTCTGAAAAGAGGAATAAAATGCCGCCAACATTTCTCATAGTCATCTATGGTTCTTGAGTATCACTATAGTATCTTTCATGGATTAAATTGAGATACTGCAGGACTGATGGATTAAAGTTAAACTATCTCTCGGAGTTGAATTAACTTTTCGACCAACTGCATGTTTCAATTTGGTACTAAATTTCGTAGTGAAGACCAAGACACAATGAGAAACAATGGGTTCAGTATATTAAACAATGCACAAAATCTACCTGTTCAGAAAAAAATAAATAAAACGAAAAATATAAAACTTCGTGGTAGTCGAAGATGGGATTTGTCATTCGAAATTTCTTGTGGTTTGTGAAACTTTTCGGCGTTTGCGTATTTTTACGTTGAAAACGATTCAAACCTTAATAGAAATTCCAATTTTAAATAATAAAAGGCTGTAACAAGCAGAACAAAACGGGAATAATAGGATTCAAACATTCTTAAACACAAGAAGCATCATTTCATCTTGAATAGAAAAGATGTGGTTATTTTATTTCAATAATTTGTTTTAAGTATGTCGCTTGTATGGTTTTCATGATATCTGCACATATCTCATGCAAACACTCAAGCGCATGTCTATGGAAAGAAAGTCATGTGATATGGACACATCTTGAGCAGTGGCGTAGCCAGGATTTTGGGCTAGGGGGGGGCTCAGCCCCTCAAAAATTTTCGACCCATCTTAGGTATATGAAACTTATCTGTAAACCCAATATAGAGTTGATTTTTGTTTATTCTGATTCTTTCCTCAAAATATAAGCTGAGCTAACAAATATAAAATGGCAAAAGATGTTCGATCTTCATTCAATTGAAATAACAACAATAGATGAAATAAATGTGGAAACCTCGGATTTATATCCGAGAGTTATGTGTACTTCAAAAAGTGAATGAGACAAATCAGTCATCCTAGAATATCTGGATATAAAAATTAGCCGGGCAAACCTTTTCTATTGACATTTGAATTCAATTGGCTACTGCTCAACCAATAGAATTTGGTGGTGAATACAGCTCACATTTGAACTATTTGGTCCCTGACATACAGAAAAAAATAAAACGAATTATGCAACATGATTGGTCTATTTCGATTTAAATCGTCTTTTTGAGAGGATTTATTCGTCAATTCAGTTTTAATTCACTTTGAATTAGTCGGTGTTTGGGGCCTTTGCCTTGATTTACTCTAAGAAAGTCGTTTTCCCTATAACTTGATTTCTATTGGTCAGTGCTCAATCAATGGAGCTTCGAGGCAAGTGGAGTACAAATTCGAGTTCTCCATCTCGAAAAACCCTGGAGTATCGCCTTTGCGATCAGAAGATAGAGCTCTAATTGTGGATCAATTAGAGCGTGGACAAGAACAGAACCGATTTCCGTTTATTTATCTTTGCAATAGGTGAGTTAGCTTCCTTGTTTCTTGATGCTTTATATACCGTTTTGTAGCTTGTGAAATTCTCTGTCGAATGGTATATAATAAGTGGGGTTTTATGTGACCATGATCGGGAAAGCCTTTTACAAAAGCAGGGACTGGTTGATCCTCACATAGGAAAGCATAGGGAAAAATAATTATTTTTACAATAACTCACCAATGGCTCGGACACTCATTCTCATCTTCGAACTAAACCGAGATATTGTTGGGACAAAACTGTGTAGAAAATTTCATCATGATTGAACTCTGCTTTCAAAAGTTATCACGTAAACGGCCGGTCGCTCGGCCGGACACACTGACCGATTCTAGAGTGTACTTACTTTTTGAGTACACAAAAATTTTGCTCTTGAATGGGAATAAATATGCGGTTGAACTTTCTTCTTTTTATTCTTCTTTTTTGCTCTTTTCTTGCCTATTTAAACGTATGTACTGGAATGGACGAAGAGAACTAGCTTGTAAAAATTAATTTTCTTCGTCCATTCCAGTATAAAAATTCAAATAGGCAAGAAAAGAGCAAAGAAGAAGATTCAACCACATATTTATTCTCATTCAAGAACAAAATTTTTTAACTCTAAAAAAAACGTATTACGTTCGAAACGTTGGTTATAATATATATTGTTATATATTTATATTTACATTTATATATTTTACTCTCCATTACTATGTTAAATTTTTATATAATTGTAAATAATAATTTATATAAAATATTTAATAAATTAAGAAAAAGCTAAATTTTTTTAAAAATGATCAATACAATCTACCTAAGACGTATGAACTTTCATTCTGATTTCACAACAACAGACATCGCTTTACTCTGATACAAACCAATCACTGCAGCCACCTGCAAAGCTGAAATAAACTACTCATAACCTAATAAACCTCATTAAAACTTGTATTCGCATTTACTGTATTTTCTTTTATTCAAAGACATATGAGCTGCACAAAATTAAATATATATGTTAAAAGGTAAAATTGCAAACACTAATCTATTTTGGTATAAAAAGTATATGTCTTTCTAAAATTTCGCCAGGAGGGGCTCAAAAGTCCGTAGGGGGGGCTCAGCTCCCCCTGGCCCCCTGCTGGCTACGCCACTGATCTTGAGATCTGTGTACGTCGAGCACATGAAAAAAAGTTTGATGCGGAGCAAGTTTTAAGAGTTAATATCATTATTCAACGACATCTATTGTTTCATCATGAAAATTGTTGAAGTGTTGCTGTCATATTTTGCTTGCCAACATGCTCGTTGATGGCTGATTAATATCTATCAAATAATCTATTAAACCAAAGCAAATTAATAATTAGATTAGAATGAATAACGACATAATCGAAAAAGAAAGTCAGATTGAATCAAAAATTGATTATGATATTTTAGAAATTGTGGTAAAATATTTTTCAAATGATTTTCTATTTAAAAGAAACAAGGTTTTTGTTTTCTTTTTGTTATTTTTTAGCGT